GGGCTCTTTGCCACGGCGGTGCCGGAGGAGCAGCTGGGGGGAGGCTGGGAGAGGTCCCCGCGGAGGGCCTTCGGGCCCAGCCGGTGTCTGCGCGGCGCCGGGTCGCCGAGGGAAGCGGGGTCCCTGCCCGCGGTTGTGCGGGGCGGGGTGCAGGAGCAGTAAGTGCCCGGGGCTGTGCCCCATGTTTTACGTGTTCACGCCTGTTACGTTCCCACTCGCGCCGTCACAGCGGCCTTTGGGCTATGGCTGGATGGGGGGGCGATACATGATCCCTCACCTTCCTCCAGCCCTGGGTGGTTCTTGGCCCTGCCAGCGGAGCAGAGCTTTCTTCCAAGGCTGTGTTGACAGTCCCCCAGTCCAGCAGCATGTCGTCGCGCTTCGCTCATGGCTCTTTTCCTCTCCACAGCTGGCAGAAAGGGCTGGACTTCTCCTCCTGTGGCCAGTGGGAGGAAGCCATCACCTGCTATTCGAAAGCCATCAACCTGGATCCGCAGAGGGTAAAGGGTCCCCAAAGGGCTAGGGATGCGCTAGGCTGGGAGCCAGAGAAGGGAGGCAGCATCATGAAGCCTGGCTCTCACGCTGGCATCTGGCTTCAGGATGCTGTTAACATCTCACCAGGCTGATCCTAGGTAGTTTGAGCAGAACTGGGCTGGGCCAGCGTGGGCTGAGGGTTGTCCGTGGTACAGGCAGAGCTGTATGAGCAGCAGGCAGAGGCCTTCCTCCAGCTCTGTGACTTCCAGTCAGCCATGCTGAACTTCAGGAAGGTGCTCACGCTGGTGCCTGCGTGGGAGCAGCCCTGCCTGGCTCTCCTGGCCCTTGTCCTTGACCTGCAGGTCAGCCACCACTCCCCTTCCTCTGTCCGCAGCCCTGGCCTGTGGCCAGGCTGGCAGGGCTTCCCTGCAAGGCCGATGTCTGCTCGACCAGGAGCTCTACTGCGAGGCCCTGGAGGCCTTCACACGGGCAGCCGAGCTGCAGCCTCACCGCAGGGTGTTTCACCAGAGGAGGTAAAGCCAGGGCAGCGCTAGGTTGTCCAGGGCTGGCCCTGCTGTGGGCTGCTTCCAGCCTTGCCCGTCTCCTCTTGCAGCATCGTGTGTCTTGCGGCTCTCAACAAGTTCCCAGAATGTCTTCAAATGCTCAACAGAGACCTGGAGGAGGATGCGAGGAACCCTGATCTGTATGTGCTCTGTGCCTCCTTCTACGAATGCTTTGGGCAGGTACAGCCGCTCCAGTCCCCAAGGGGCCCTGCTGCCCTTTCCGGAGACTGGGGATGTGCTAGGAAGTGCCAGGCTCTGAGGGTACCTGCCCTCCCTGGACAGCTGGCCCTGTGTCACCAGGATATCCCATGGGCCCTGGAGCTGCAGCACGGAGCTGCCCAGGCCCTGAGGTGGAGGCTGCTGAGACGAGGCCAGGAGGCCAAGGCTGAGGTGGTGTCCAAGGTCCTGTGCGGGAACCTGCGTGGGGCCCTGCTCAAGATCAGCTTCGCCATCGAGAGTGACCCCTCAGCTGCTGAATTCTTCACCCTCAGGTAGTGAGAGTGTCACCACGGCCGGTTGTCCCCATCCACCTCTGAGCTCTCCTATCTCTGTCCCTGTGTCACAGGGGGGCCCTCCTCCGGTGGCTCAAGGACTTCAGTGCAGCCTGCAAGGACTTAGCCAGGGCGAGGGAGCTGGGGGCCAGGGGGACCCGGAGGCCCAGGAGGCTTGGTGGCAGCTGGCAGTCGCCTACAATGACTGTGCCGTGCACTGCTACGCCCTGAGCTGATTCGATGAGGCTGTGATGCTCCTTGGCGAGGCTCTGCGGGACGAGAGGCGGGAGAAGGGGCTCTGTGTAAACAGAGGAGGCAAGCAGCCGGGCTGGGCATCGCAGCGGGGTCCCCAGGGTGGGGGCAGTGGTGCGTGGACAGGGCTGGGGTGTCAGAGAGCAGCAGCTGCACTCGTGCATTGAGCATGTGTGGGGGAAGGCCCTGCACCGGGGTCCTGCGTTAGGGAGTGGTGGCTGAAGTGGGCAGTAGGGCCCTTGGGTTGTCCCTTGGTCCTGACCCCTGTTCACAGCTGTGCCCATCTGGATGGTTTCAGCAGTGGGGAGAGGTACCAGGAGCCGGGATTCACCACTGGTGGTTCGGCTCCCTCCCCGCGTGGCCTGTCCTGAGGCATGGCTGGGAATGGCTGTTCTCTTCCAGACTGGGCTGTGTCTCCTGCCTGGCGGAGCTCAGAGCTCTTGGCTAATGACGCTGAAATCTTTGTGGCTGGGGTGGGCTGGACACGTGCCGTGCGTGTTTCCCACTGGCACGGAGAGCTCCAGACAAAGCCCGGGGGTGGCAGCCAGCCCCCAGCCGCTCTCATTTAACCGAGACGCCGACGCTGCCTTGCTGCGGACTGCTTCCTTCGCCTGGGGGAGCTGGCCTGTGCACTTGCAGATTACCAGCAGGTGCTGGAGCTGAGCCTGGGGGACTGCGTTGTGCGGAGACGGGTTGCGGCAGCACTGCACGAGCAGGGCCAGCAGGACTTGGTGGCAAGGTGAGCAGGCGGGTTGGTGTGGTCTGCCCCAGGGCTGGCGGCAAGCCAGGCTGCCGAGCGTGCTCTCCTGTCCCCTCACAGGCAGTACCGGCAGGCAGAAGCTTGCTTCTCTGTGGCCGTTGAGCACGACCCCCAGAAACTGCTGTACTACCTGTGCCGGGCCAGGGCCTGCCTGTGACCGAGGAGGGTGGAGAGCATGAAGGAGGATGCCGCCCTAGGTCTGTGGCCCGACCCCACGGATGGCAAGGTACACATCCTTTCCCTCGTACGCTACCTTTTTCCAAGAAAGACTGTCTGTGCGGTCCTGAGGAGTGAGACTGGATGCCTTGCCCAAGAAACCTTGGAGAAAACGCTTCGGAGCCCCCCAGAACTCACCATTTCGGCTGATGTCGCCTGGTGTGACAGCAGCAATAGGTGCATGCTGGGGGGTAGTTTGTCTCGGGCGTTAGCCCACTAGTGCTGCCCACTCCAAAGGGGGGTTGCTCAAATCCCGAGTGCGAGGGTTTTGTTTGCTCTGGAGCATAGTGGCATGTTTCAGAACTCACTGCTGAAGTACTTGTGCTGGCAAAGGTGGGTTTTGCCCCTTTCTGCTCCTAAAAGGTGATGCAGGGTTGCTGGATGTCTACACTTGGCCTGGGAACCTTGTTCCAAGCAGGCGTCTCACTCCTTTTCAGCCCTCCCAGATAAAGGATCGCTTTGGGGGGTTGCTGCAGGCCCGTAGCATTGCCTTTGCACTGGCACTTGTCCCCAGGCTGCTGATGGCACTGGAGGATGATCCGAAGGAAGCGGTGCCTGAGGGCCCAGGGCTGCCCACGGGAGTAGGAGCTGTCCGAGGGACAGCAACTCGGGTGAGCAAGCCTGGGGTGCGGCAGCAGGGGCTGCAGGCTTGGATCTCGCACCCAGCCAGCGCACGGAGCAGCAGCGATAGCTGCTGCAGAAACAGCTGGTCTGCTACTGCGCCCGTCCAGCACCTCGCCTCGGCCCTCAGCTCCCTGCGTGCGGGGCCACCAGGCAGGCTTCGCAAAGCGACTCTCCCTGGGTAGGAGGTGACGTGGTTCCCACCTCCTGCTGCGCTGGCACTAGCCCTACGAACGTGGTGTTGGGACCCAGAGATGCGCTCTGCAGTGGGGGAAAAGTGCCGCTGGGGCAGAGAGAGCCAGTGGCCTCCCTGGACCTACGCTGGCTCCTCTGCAGAGGATGTCTGGCCCAGCTACTGCTGTTTCACCTCCTCCCCAGGGAAAGGCTGCTGTCTTGTTTCCAGTTACCTAGTTGGAGAGCATGAGCTCTGTGCCACTAAATCCCCAAAGTCCCATCGCATCAGGCAGCTGTTCCCACGCAACTGCAAATCTTCCAAGTCCTTCCGCACTAGCTGCAGTCAGGAATCCAAGTAAAAGACTGTTTCCCAACCGTTTATTTCATAAAAGATTTATTTTGAAATTTCCAAAAATGTTATGCATTTGTAGAGGCAGAATTTTTGGGTCTGTCTGTGGGCCAGCTCCTGGGCAGCATTTGGTTGTAGTCTAAAATCGCTGTCCCCAAAGCTCCGGCCCTGGAGCTGGAATGGTCCCAAGCGCTGGCAGCTCATTTCAGCACAGGGCCTGAGCGGAGCATCGGGAGCTTTGGGAAGTGAACCTGCACCCATCCCTTGGGCAGTTTGTTCCTAGAGAGCGAATGATTCTGGTTCCTCTGACCTGTTTTGCCATAACGGACTGCCCAGAGGAGATTAAAACCTGGGCAAAGGTCTTAATGCTGTGCACCCCATGCTTGGCAGTGTGGAGCACTAATCTTCTCTAAATCGTCCGCAGGTCCCCCGTCGTAAGTGACACTCCCCAGAAGCTGAACGGACGCTGGCCCAGCCAAAACCTGCAAGGTCTGACCAGCAGAAGGATGTACAAGAGGCTCAACAGCTCATAGCACCAACTCTCAGCCTGCTGTAGAAGTTATCACTGAATAAAAGGAATTTTCAAAACCGTTAGTAGCACTATAGGCTCCCCTGGAGGTAGGACTGAAATTTTTTGTAGCTAGTAGAACAAGCGAGAAGTCTTTTTGTTGTTGTTGTTGTTGTTTTCCTGGTTTGCTGCAGGGAAATCCTCTGGACCTTAAGGGAACGATGGATGTGGGGGTGGTAGGAAGAACCTGGCTCTTGGCAGATCAGGCGTTGCCATCTCCCACATTACCACCCCCCCTATGCTTGTCGATGGTGAAGCTGGTCCCTACCAGCACCTATTTCCAGTGAAAGGAAGCTGGGAAGAAGTTGGCTCAAACTTCCTTGAAAAGAAAACTTTGCTGCAATGTTGAAGGTGTTCACAGGCCAGCGCTGCAGGAGTCAGCACCGGCACTGTCACGTGGTACAAGAAGCTGAGGCACAGCCACGCTTCAAAAGGTTTTAAAAACCTGTTAAAATGCTGTAGGAAAGAAATATTCTTCTGTGGGCTCAGAATCTTGATGTGTTGGATATCAGTAGGTGCCAGGAGAGGGGAGAGCTGCAGGTGGGTGCTGCTGTGACAGGGTGAGAAACCTCCCCAACACTGCAGGACCTCTTAGCCTCTTCCCTTTGTCGTCACGGATGTCTTGGGTGGTGCGCCGGGCTGGTTGTACCCACCCTCCCCTGGCCAAGGGTAAATCAGTAAAGTGCTTTAAATCACATCACTTGCACTTGGTCCCGCATCCTGCAGCAGCCTCCTTGGGGCTGGAGAG